TACTTTAGTTATCATCAATATCAATATCATCATTACTATTATCATTATCATTATTATTATTTTATTGTCATTGCTATTATTGCAATTGTTATCATCATCGTTAGTTCAGTTATAAACATTATTTTTTTATCATTTTAATTCTCAACATCATCATTATTGTTATTATTGTTATCATTATCATTATTACTATCGTTATTATTGTTACTATCATTCTCATCAGCAGCAGTAGCATCATAATCATTATTATCATCATTGATGTTTTCACTATAATCATTGCCTTCATTATCATTACTGTCACCATCATCATCATTATTATTCTCATCATTCTTACTATTACTATTGTCATAATTTTTACTATCATTATTGTCATAAATTTTACTATTATTATTGTCATCATTATCATTATTATTATGGATATCATCATCGTCATCATCATCTTCTCCATCATTATTACTATTATCATCATTTTGATTACAATGGCATCGAAACCAGTGTAAGTACTCACCGACGACGCCGAAAACAGACGTTAGCACCTCCACCGCCAGCGCGCCCACCTTCCATCCCGCAATGAAAGCATCCACCTCGCAGTCCGCCGGTGTCTGGTCACTGCTGCTCATCCTGTGGCACTGCGTCTGGAGTCGTGCAATTGGCTGGACGATTCGCTCCCACGTTTCCTCGGGCGCCACACGGGAACAGCGCGGTCGGAAGTGTTCCTTGGGAGATTCTCACATTGATAATTGGGGCAGGAAGGTGGGCGGGGTGGAGAGAGATATAGCGTCTTCTGGGTCTATGGTTTGCTTGCTGGGGCGGAGGAGGGGAGGGATGTATTTGCTTTAAACGGAACGTCAGAGTTTGATTCCATTTCTTTAATGTGAATGCGTTTATTTTCTTATTTTGTTTATACTTTACTATCTCCTTGAGTGTTGTTTATAATTGTTTGTGTTGTTTGGGCTCACTATAAGAGATGTGTGTGCTCTTTCAATGATTGGTTCACACACACAAGAAATATGTATATTCAGTAGAGACCCTTCTTACTGATCAGGTCCCTCAATGGATTCTTCACTGCCCAGGCTGTGAACTGCAAACCACAATGACTAACGTTGTCTAGGATTGGACAGTGCTCTCTCTCTCTCTCTCTCTCTCTCTCTCTCTCTCTCTCTCTCTCTCTCTCTCTCTCTTCTCTCTCTCTCTCTCTCTCTCTCTCTCTCTCTCTCTCTCTTTCTCTCTTCTCCCTCTCCCCCTTTCTCTCTCTCCCTAAAGATAAAATGTGTGCTTTACATCTGAGAAGAATAATGGATAATTCACCTGTTTACACTAGTGGTTTCCAATCATTGGGTCAATATGCAAGGCGTTCGTCAGTGTTCATATTGATAATGTACGATGAAGCCATGTCTCCAAAGAACATTGTATCACACTTAACGAAAGATTACTGAATTTGTTTTTTGATAGCCTAAAAATATGTAATTGGTTAGCCGGACTCGCAAAAGTAAATATGTCCGAAACTGAATTTTCTTTTGCTGAATACTCTTGTGCTTCCAGTGTACACACATTACGTGGATTAAAGAACGGAGCCATATAGTTACCTACTATGATTCAGTTATCAAGCTTCAACAATACTGCTGCTACTATCAATGATAACAGTGGCAGTATCAATAGTAATGATTATAAGAATGATAAGGATATGGAAATTTTGAGCAATGTTGATGATGATATGAACAATAATAGTGAAAATAAAGAAAATAAAGACGATGAAGATAATAACGGTAGCAACAAAAACAATGATAATTATAATAATTATGATAATTATAATACTGATAATGATAACAACGATAATAATGATAATTTATGATGATAATAACAATAATGATAATAATAATAATAATAATAATAATAATAATAATAATAATAACAGAGAGAGAGAGAGAGAGAGAGAGAGAGAGAGAGAGAGAGAGAGAGAGAGAGAGAGAGAGAGAGAGAGAGAGTTGAATATAATTTTTCGCATTAGCCGCAGACCCTTCTCTATAAATTTTACTATAGTAAAGATTTACTGTGAAGAACTCTTCGATGCGATATTGGCGGACCAAAATAAGATCAAACCCACTCTGGCGTAATCCTACTGAAGAACCAGAAAATGCTGGCAAATCATATTTCCTAACCGGAGATAACAAAAGTTGTGATGATGATGGGTGGATGATGATAATCACAATGACAATAACAATAACAATAGTAGTACTGATTATATTAATAATGACAATAATAATTACAATGAGAATCATGATTACAATGAAAAGAATGATAGTGATATTCATTATTATGAGAAAGATTATAATATTTATAATAACAAATGGTAACAGCAATGATTATAACAACAAATATAAAGAAAGAAAGTGATTAGCAGACGTGCTTCCTCTATATCATCAACTTTTGTTTCAGGCAATATCAAACTTGAATTTTATAAACAAATGAGATAATACAAATATTTGAGAATTTCGTAAGACAA